ACAAATGTTTACACCAACACAGTGGAACCCTATCACGCTGTCCACACAGGACACACATCCAGGTTACTGATTTGCCTCGGAAAGGTCTCCTCTTGTGGGCGTTTGGACGGTGAGGTCCGTGGACGGTGAGGTCCGTGCTGTTAAACTGCACTGCCCGCCCGCCCCACCTTAAAGACTCGCAGGCCACCCCGGTCCGCAGGGCGGGTCCGCAGCACCGTGGACATGCCCGCCCTCCCTGCTCACTCTCCCAGCTGTGGACGCTCAGGTCGGCCAAGTGGAAAGCCTGCTGGGTAAGAGGTGTGGAACGGAAGCCAAAAGGAACAGATGTTCGGATGATCAGACTCCGGTGGCCATGGGCAATGGATTGTGAATCGCTCGTCCCTGCACTCTGGGCCAGCCAGGCTCCCCAGGGGCCACCGTCCTCGCTCAAAACCCTGCCGGTGGTCACGGGGCAGTCCCCCACGCCTGCTCCTCTTCAAGACTTAAAAAGAGAAAAATGGTACAGAAAGAAATCTTCTCTGAAAGGACGCCTCCCTTAGGAATGAAATGTTGAAAAAGTCAGTGTGCTCAACAGGTGGCTTTGTCTGCATTTCCAAAAGCAGAGAGAACGAATTTAGCAAAAGTAAGTTTATCCCTGAGAATCTCCAGCAACGGAAGCCATAGCGTATCCTAACATACAGCAAAACCTAGAAGATGTGCATCTTCTAAATATTAAAGCATCTGCTTTAGTGACTTAAACAATAAATGACCGAACACTTCAACTCAAAGCAAAATCCTAGAAACAATTATGTGGAGGAAGAGCTTCGTGCCAACCTGGACAGCAGGCGACCCATGACCCACTGATCAACTACACGGCCTTTCCAACCTGGGATGCGAGGCCTCTCGGGCTGCTTTCTGAGGCGACGGTCTCGTGCTGCTCCAGGCCAGCGGCTGCCCGGCCACCGCCCCGCCCCGCCCCGCCCGCGGGCACATCTCCGGCTCCCACCGACTGACGAGGAGGCTTGCCGTTTTCCAAAAGGACAAAGAGAAACCAAGTCACGAGTTCACCCCAAGAGAAAAGACACAAGACTGAGTTTTGCAGAGGACGGGCTACCCAGGCGGCACGGGACGAGGCTACTGCACAGGAACACAAAGACCCTCCCCACAGCGCCTCAGTCCCCGTCCGCGTCCGAGTCGGCGAACTTCAGCTCGCACTTGACGTCGAACGGCCTGTCCCTGACCGGGAGCTCGTCGATCCTCTGCGAGTCCTCCCTGTCGGTGGGCGCCCTGCTGGCCGTGGTGTCCTGCTCTGTCTCGTAGCCGGTGTCGGGGGCCGGCCGGGGCTGCCCCCCGTTCTGCTGGGAGAAGCTGCCCGGCTCCACCAGCGTCTCCTTCACGCTCTGCTCGCAGTCGGAGAAGTCCGAGGCGGGCTGCTTCTTCCCCAGCAGCAGGGCGGAGCGGAGCCGCAGGCACGGCCCGGGCAGGAAGCCCTTGTAGCAGTTGTAGGAAAAGAGGCAGAGGCAGAGGACGAAGAAGAAGAGGAAGAGGGACAAGAGGAGGCGGTCGTTGCTGGACTTGAGGTACAGGGTCTTCTCCGACTGGACCTGGGGGACGGTGTGGATGATGACCTTTGGTTCGCAGGACGCGCTGGTGGGCGCCGGGCCGGAAGGTGTGGTGAGCCGCCCCGCCGGGGTCTGGGGAGAGGAGCCTCGGACGGACCCCGCTGACACGTCGGGGGGGATCCCAGCACCTTCTGTCCGGGTGGCTGGCGAGGGGAAGGCCCCTGAGACCCGGGGGGCCGTCCTGACCTCCAGCACGTGCTTGGCCATCACCCGCGAGACCGTCTTGTTCTTGACCCTCTCCTCCGACAGGCACTGGTACACCCCGCTGTCTCCTTCCGACAGGTTGAAGATGAGCAGGGTCCCGCCCACCAGGCTGTACTTGGGGCCCTGGGCCCTGAGCACGCCGCTCTGGAACCTCCACACCACCCGCGCCAGGTTGGACTTTGGGGAGCATTTGAGCGCTGCGGTGCCGCCATACTTGAGCAAATGCTGCCGCGAACTTCCCTTACTTTCATCTGGAACATCAAAATAGACGTGCAGTGTCAACAACCCTGCTCGCTACGTGACTTCCGTTAAACACAGTCAACACGCACAAGAGGACATGAGAGTTCCACCCACAGGAGCAACAAAGACTCTTCCAGAACAACTAAGGAGATAAAGACATGCATGAGCAAAAAGCAAGATGAGCCCTCGAAGGCAGGCCCCGGGGACAGACTCGGAGGCACCTCTGAGCAGCAGAAATCCCGTCTCACACCCTGGCTTCCTGGGAGAAAACGCGCCAGGTGGGGAGGCTGAGCGCAGGCCCGGTGCGCGTTCTGACAGCCACGCTCTGAGTCAGACACCACGCGCTTTTGCTAGCGGCTACCGCACACCGCAGCCTGGCATGCCCTCCTCCTAAACCTGCCTTCGCTGTCCACAGCACCCTGGCCCCCGCAGCAGTGGTCGCCCACGGGAACGCCACCGCCTGGACGTGCCGGCTGGAGGACTAACCCTCCCTCCGTGCAGAGGGGCGGGTCGTGCTCCCTGAGCCCGAGCTAAGAGGAGAGAGATGCATCTCAAGAGAGGGCGTCACACGGGACAGTGCCTCTGGGACACACACACACACACACACACACACACACACACACTCTGTGGCCGCACCCATCCTTTCTGCAACTAGAGGCCCAGGGAAGCCACGAGGCCTGCCAGACACTGGCCCTCCGCTCCGGCGAGAAAGAAAATGCGCAAGATGCCACGGCACCAAAGCATCGTGAGATGGTTACGAGAGGCCATTCCTGAAGGGAGCGAGAGAGAACGAGCAACTTACCGGGGCAAGCGGACACTTCCCCGCTCATGTCCTGGATCAGACCCCTGCAAAACAAGGGCCGAGTGGGCACGGGCTCGCACGGGAAGGGCGGGCGGAGCCCCTGCATGCGCGCCTCCCCTCGCCGGTACCTGCGGGGGCTCTCGGTCTGGTGCAGGGCCACGCAGGCTGCTGTGGCTGGGCTCCAGGCGCAGTAGGGGTCCCGGGCCAACACGCAGTCCTCACAGGTGCTGTGCTTCCCACAGAAGGCCACCGGGGCCTGGACCACGCCCGAGTTGGAACCGGCATAGATGAACTTTCTTCCCTGTGGATATGAACTGGTGAGCACGGGTGGGTCCGGAGCCAGCCAGCGTCCTGGCGGGCATCTTCTCCAGCCTCAGTGAGCCGCGATGCGGTGCTTCCTGGAGGAGGAGGAGCCCCCTCGCTCAGAACTGAGGCGGGTCCCACTCCAGACGAACCCGCGTGCAGGTGTGACAGCGCGAGCAGTGTATGGTGCGAGCAGAACCTGCCAACGCAGAGAGCACGGGCCTCGGCCCAACCCTCCCTCATGTCCATGCACCCCCGTCACCCCAACCACCAGCAGAGCGCATCTCTCACCCGGTCAGCCCCTCTGGGGGGGAGACCCCAGCCGGCCAGCCAGGCCTCACCATAGGCCCGAGGCCACACGGCACAACCTCAGAACCCGAGGTGGGCACCGGAGCGCGGAGCCGTGTCTGAATCCCGCACGGCCCAGAGTCGGAGGTGCAGACAGGTCGCTGGAGAGTGAACACACGCCAGGAAAGGAACAGGAGCCCGAAGCATCCGCCTCACACACTGCACTGACGAGGGGGGACCACGCAGAGGGAACCTGACCGCCGCGCTCTGAAGCCGGCTCGGCAGGCCCCATGTCGGTGTGGGGGTGCCACCCTCTGACCCTCCTCCAAGGCCCGGCTGGCAGACAGCTGGCACACAGGCTGCGGCCAGCGGATGCTTCGCTGAGCTTGGCTGGAACGAGGCCCCACGCAAGTCCCCCAGCCTCTGTGTCGCCCGACACCTGGTCCACATGCGAAGACTCCGTGTCTACACAGATGAGACCCGCAGCCGCCGCCCTCAGAGGCCAGGACTGAATGAACTCCAGGGCGGCTGGAGCTCAGGTGTCGGCGTGGCCCCGACCTCCGGCCTGCGAGGCATCAGAGGCCACAGACCCTGTATGGCAGGCGCCGCCGAGAGAAGGGGCAGGGCCCCTGCGCACGCAGCCGCACAGGGAGCCAGGAACGCAGGCCCCGCAGCCACCGTGCACGTCTGTGGACACTGGGCATCCAGTTAGGGTGTCCGGGCCACGGCACTGCCGCCAGGTCCCAGGGAACCACATGCCTGCACAGTGAGAATGGTTCCTGGGGCGCAAAGCCTCAGCGCCCAGGAGGACCCGCACGAAATGTGCACCCACACAGCACAGCACTGGGGCCTGGCTGCCGGAGCCCCCAACACCGAGACCTTGGAGCCCAAAATGACATGACGGGCAGGGGAGCACCCACCGTCTGGCGCTCGGTGAGCGCCGGCCAGCAGCGCCCTCCAGGTGAGGCAGTGTGCCTGGGGAGGGGCCTGCGGGACTCCCCGCACTCACCCCTCTCCCTTGAGTTTAAAATTATTTCAAAATAAAACATTTTTTAAAGTAAAGGGAAAACATCCTGACGAGGACTGCCCAGCGCCTGCGAGGTTCGCCGAGAGCCGACCCTCTCCTCCACCCTCACCGGCCCCGGCCCCTCCGGGGACTGTGCCTCACCCACAGCCCAGGGCTCACTGCCCACGGCCACGCAGCCTGGGTGGTGTAGGGCGGACGTGGGCCGAGCGGAACAGGCTGTTTAAGGGAGTGTCACTGGGGGTGCAGTCATACCAAAGTGCTGGCCACAGAGCAGGGTAGGAGAAAGCGAGGCTCCGAGACAGGCTTCAAGCGATGGGTGTGCCTACAGCCAAGGGGAACAGGACACACGGCCCACCTCCAATCTCCAGCATTAACCCTGGCACTGCCAAGGCCCCAGGGCCCATCAGCCGGGGGTCACAGCGTGGGGACACCCACAAGAAGTGAGGTCCGCGGCCATTGTCACAGTGTGGGGCTAGGCTAGGCTGCTCCTACATATGGTCCACTGTCCGCACTGTGCACATGAGGGGACGGAGGCAGGACTGTCCTGCTCAGGCTCACAGTCAGGCGCTTGGGGTTGGGGATTGACCGGGCGACCTGGTGCTCAGCCTGCACTGTGCTGCCCCCAGCTCCACTCCAGCCATGAAACGGGCACACATCCTGGCCACTGCGGGGGACACCAGGGCACCACCTGTGGCCCGCGACAAGTCCAGCCCCTGGCTGCTTCATGCAGCCCAACTGCTAATAATTGGCTTTGCAATTATAATTGGTTGAAGAAAACTCAAAGGAATACTTGTGACATGAAATGGAAATTTCACAACCTGCAAGCTCAGTGCCCATCACCGAGGCTTTGCAGGCGCACAGACAGGCTCGTGGATGGGCCACACGCTCCTGTGCACGATAGGACGAGCCGCGTGGCCCTCAGAGCCTCACAATCTTGACCTTTCCAGGAGAGGCTGCTGACCTGATGCAGGAGCCCGTGCCGTCGGAGGGCAGGGAGCGGTGCCCGGGAGGGAGGCCCTCTGAGCTGACGAGCTCCCGCAGAGGCAGGTACTGCGGGGTCTCCCCCGCGCAAGCTCGGGGCACAGAAGTGTTTTTGTTGCAGGCCAGCACGTACCGCACACACATCGTGTGGTGCCCAACAACCCGGCGAGGTTCTGCCAACTTTCAGGAGAAAGTTAATCTCCCCAGACTGCCCTCTCTCCATCCCCGACCCCAAGGAGCAAAGGACTCTCTGTGAGAGCCCAAAGGTGGCTCCTCTGGGCGAGATGGACAAAGGGCCTCTGGCCCAGCCCAGGGACCACTGAGACGCGAGGCCACCCCCCAGCCCAGGGACCACTGAGACGCGAGGCCACCCCCCAGCCCAGGGACCACTGAGATACGAGGCCACCCCCCAGCCCAGGGACCACTGAGACACGAGGCCGCCCCCCAGCCCAGGGACCACTGAGATGCGAGGCCGCCCCCCAGCCCAGGGACCACTGAGACGCGAGGCCACCCCCCAGCCCAGTGACCACTGAGACGCGAGGCCACCCCCCAGCCCAGGGACCACTGAGACACGAGGCCGCCCCCCAGCCCAGGGACCACTGAGACACGAGGCTACCCCTTGAGCCCAGGGATCGCCAAGACTAAGGCCACTCTCCAGCCCAGTGACTGCGAGGCCGCCCCCCAGCCCAGGGACCACTGAGACGCGAGGCCACCCCCCCACCCAGTGACCGCTGAGACGCGAGGCCGCCCCCACCACGTAGTCCCTTCACCTTCTGGGAGGACAGCAGCAGGGTCTGAACTGGCTCCAGGTCCGGGAAGAGCTGCGTCTCCTCGATGATGTGGACGTCGCTCTCCAGGCTGATGGCCTTGTGCAGGGCGCCCCGGTCTGCAAGGTCAGAGCCCGGTCAGTGACCCCGGGAAGGAGGACGCGCTGCCAGAGCTGTCAGCGCCCCCCTCTGCCTCTCCACTCCTGCCCTTAGCAAGACACTTAGCCGAGGACGGCGCTTTTGCATTAGAAATGGAAAAGGGAAAGCCACGGCAAAATAAACCACAGGAATCCGGTGGCAGCTTCGTCCCAGTTTTTGTGAAGAATAAACTAAGGTCTCACTGTTGACCTGACACCCTTCCCAGCACAGCCATCCGTCCAGCCTGCAGGGTTTCCGGGCCCCCCAGGGGAGGACGGGCCCTCCCTGCTGCTCAGAGGCACGACTGGGAAGCACCCAGGCCGGCCCAGCACCTGGGCCTCCGGGGAGCAGTGCCCCCTGCAGGTCAGGACGGGCGGGAGGAGGTGCTGCCACCGCTCTCCTCCGGTTCCCTTGGCACCAGCCCAGATGTACCCGACCTGAACTTCCAGGTCTGGGTCAGGGCCTGCGCTTCTCACCAGTGCCCCAGGTGGTCCGAGGTCCCGGATCTGAAGCCACGGGGTAGACTTCTCAGAGGTGCACACTGCCCAGGGCCCCTGGGAGAGGCTGCCCCACTGGGCACAGGACAGCAGGATGTACCCAGGGTGTGACCAGGGCCCGGGACCCACCTGTGCTGACAAACATGACGTCGTACACAGTCCCGTCCAGGGCCTGGGTCCTGTCCACCACAATCTGGGTGTAGTTCACACCGCTTTTGACCAGCCGGGGCCGGTTGCCTGTCGGGGTCACAGAGTCGTCCATCAGAGGGTGGTCTTTGACGAACTGCAGGGTCTTGTCGGGCAGACTGAGCGAGCTGGAGAGGTTGGCGGCCCGCGCCTCGCGGTCGACGCACTGCAGGGACAGACCGCGGTTACCCGTGACTCACGGACGTCGAGCGCTCTGCACAAGGCCAGGCCCGGGCGGCGCAGAGCTAGGGACTCCACAGTGGATTTCTTCAAAAAGGGGAACCAAGAGGCCCTTCCCTGAACCTGAAGACAGTTATGGCATGTGGAAGTGCAACTGTCTTTTTATCCCCAAGATACTAGCATAATTATGTTTCATGACACATAGTCAGTGAGGCAATTTTTATCTATTTATCAATGAAAAAAAGTACTAAGATTTTAAAGTTAAAAAATAAACATTATTGGATAGCTCTCCCATTAGAAGAGAAGACTGGTGAGAAAATTGCTAAAAATGGTCCACTTCTAACCAGCACGAAGGCGCAGGAGTGTCCTTTTCTGTCCTGGCTCCTGACCTGCACAGGCCAAGACCTGGGGCCCCAAGGGAACGTGTTTTACTTAATAATGTGCCTAAGGAAACAGTAGCTGGTGTCGGGGGAAAGGCAGTCCGCGGGGCCACACGCCCGGGCACCCACACACTCGGGCACCCACACGCCCGGCACAGGGCGAACAGACACAGCCGAATCCACCTTGAAACGGGTTTCTATATAAAATGCACCACTTTTAAGAGACAAAGAATGATTCATATTAATGAATGGAGAGTGTAGCTCATCTCTTTGCCAAGAAATCGTTTCTCTACAGGAAACAGGAAGTGAAACAGATCTAACGATTTCATGCAGTTACTTCCACAGAACACCCCCTGCAGCCGGAGGAGACTCCTGTTAGGGCAGCAACAGCCGTCACACACATGCCGAGGACGGGGCACAGGAGGAGGACAGAGTGCCTGTCGCCCTGCCCAGTCCCAGGGGGTGCCCGCTCCCCGCGGAGACACACTCAAACCCCGCGAGGCCCGGGGGTGTGCGGCGAGGTGCAGGCCCAGCATGGCTGGCCCCACACCAGGTGCCCACAGCCAGGCCCCTCACTCACCGCCCCGGGCCTGGGCGAGGGCACCGGCCCGCTGTAGCGCACCCACTTGGTGTGGGACTGCTCCACAGTGGCGCTCTGCATGTACTTCCCGCCGGAGAAGACCGCCTCGGCCGTGGACAGGTTGTAGGCGCACACGGCCGACAGCCCAACGTTGTTCCTGGGGAGGAAGGGCCATGTCACTGCCTGCAGGGGGCGGCGGCGAAGAGCCCTCCCCCCCACCACCCCCCCCGGCACCCCCAACAGCACTCACAGCTGCGGGGTGAAGACCCCGTAGAACACGGGCTCCTTCAGGTCCGGGGCCCTGAGGACGAAGACGGCGCGCAGCACGTTGAAGAAGAGGCTGCCGTCCGGCCTGGAGCAGAGCAGCCTGGCCTTCAGGAAGGTGGTCCACTTCTTCTGTAAGGTCCGCAGGCCGCCCTGGTCCCCCTGAAACGCAGAGACGGGCGTGGCAGGACGGGCAGACTCCCCGTGCGGGGGCCCAGCCAGCCGGGGCCCATGGCTGTGCCTGGATGAAAAGCAGCCCCGGCTGAGAGGGAAGCCTCTGCAGACACCCGTGAGCCCAGCACCCCTTCCCCGCAGCTCGGGCCGCGGGTTCCCCCAACCACAGAACCCAACCCGATGGGGAAAAGCCGCCGTGGCCTCCGGACGGCGCTGGAACCTGCCCACGCTCGGCGACACCGCAGCCCCCTCGCACGGCCCGTCCCCGTGGCTGCATGTTTCCAGCCTGTGACCTGCCCACGAGGGGCCGGGAGCCAGAGCAGCCCACGCACTGGCGCCCCAGTCGTCCTAGGCCAAGGGGTGTAGGTCTGGTCTCCCCCAAATGTTCCTCACGGCAGAGCAGGTCTGCACTCCCCTCCTCCCCCCAAGTTTTCACTCAAGTGCTCCGGACCTGCCGGGCTCTCCCTGAACCGTCAGGGACGATCGTAAATCGCACCTGCAGCGACCTGGCCCACAGAGAAAGCCTGAGACTCGGGAACGTGGGTGCAGAGGGGAGTAACGCCGAGCGCCCTTACCTACTGTGGGCACAATCACAACGAGCCCTCCCCGCCTTTACCCCGGAACGGAGAAGTCCCAGTCCCACAGCCTCGGTTACTGCGGTGACAACAGGCGCTCTCTGCTCCCAGACGGTGCGTGCACAGCAGAACCTCTGAGGACAGGAGGCCAGGCACCGGCCACTCAGAGGTGCCAAGCTCCCTGGGCTCCAGCTCCCTCCGGATGCCCGAGCGGAGGGACCGCCCACCTGACCTCTGTGGCACTGAGGGGGGTGTGGGGCCTGGGCGAGGTGCTGTGTGCACAGGTGGAACCGGAGAGAACCGGGGAGCGGCCTCACCTTGCACACCCGCGCGACCCTGGGGATCATCAACTTGGAGACAAACTCGTACTCCACAGACACCTCCGTGAAGAAGAAGTAGACCCTGTCGTCCCCGCCCTCGGCGCCTTCCGGGCTCGCTCGAATCACATCGGCATGGACAAAGCTGGGCTCTGCAGGGAGAGACCCGGTTATTCCCAAACATCCCGTACACAGAAGGTCCCGGGCACGTCCCTGCACATATGGAGGGACCTGGGTATGTCCCCCCACACACAGAAGGTCCTGGCATGTCTCTATACACATGGAGGGACCCGGGCACGTCCCTGCACACATGGAGGGACCCGGGCACGTCCCTGCACACATGGAGGGACCCGGGCACGTCCCTGCACACATGGAGGGACCTGGGTATGTCCCCGCACACATGGAGGGACCCGGGCACGTCCCTGCACATATGGAGGGACCCGGGCACGTCCCTGCACACATGGAGGGACCCGGGCACGTCCCTGCATACATGGAGGGACCTGGGTATGTCCCCGCACACATGGAGGGACCCGGGCACGTCCCCGCATACATGGAGGGACCCGGGCACGTCCCTGCACACATGGAGGGACCCGGGCACGTCCCTGCATACATGGAGGGACCTGGGTATGTCCCCGCACACATGGAGGGACCCGGGCACGTCCCTGCACACATGGAGGGACCCGGGCACGTCCCCGCACACATGGAGGGACCCGGGCACGTCCCTGCACACATGGAGGGACCCGGGCACGTCCCTGCACACATGGAGGGACCCGGGCACGTCCCTGCACACATGGAGGGACCCGGGCACGTCCCTGCACACATGGAGGGACCCGGGCACGTCCCTGCACACATGGAGGGACCCGGGCACGTCCCTGCACACATGGAGGGACCCGGGCACGTCCCTGCACACATGGAGGGACCCGGGCACGTCCCTGCACACATGGAGGGACCCGGCCATGCTCCTGCTCATGTGCCCCTACAAGACACGGAGGGTGCATGTGCCATGCCCAAGCACACTGCAGGGTCTGGAGGGATGAGGGTGCCCATCTCGCCCTCCTCAGCCTCCGGTGCCCTGGATGTGGTTCTGAAGCATACTCGCCTGACCGACCCCACGCACTCGAGGCTGGGCCTTCCCACCGGCAGGCAGCCGGGGCCCAGGAGCCAGATCCCCCGTCCCCGCTTGCGGAGACCCGTGAGCAGATGTGCGTTTGCTGGTCTAAACAGCTCGCGCCTCTGACAACCCCCTGCCCACAGCTCGGGGCCCACTGCCCTCAGAGCCCCACTCTATGAAAGCCGATGCATGTCCCGGGGGGGGGGGGGGAGGGGAGGAGGTGGCCTTACACAGCCTTACAGTTGCTCCGTGGAGAGCCATGGAAGCCCCGGAGGCTGGCTGTGCAGCCAGAGCAGGCCCAGAGTGCCCCCCCGCACCAGTGGTGAGAGTGCAGGGCCCACGTGAGGTCGAGCCGAAAGAAGGTTCTAGAAATATAGCACGTGGGGCAGTCCTGGCGAGGCGGCTGCCTGAGTGGACACACACCTTCAGGGACCCCGCTGCTTCTTACCGTTGAGCCAAGGTATCGCGTACTCCGTTCTCAGAGGACTGTGGGAGGAATTCCGGGAGATGATGGGCTCGCTTCCCAAAAAGTTGTATGACGTCCCAGAGTAAAGCTCTCCGTCTTCGGGCCCAGGAGGAGAGGAGAAGGGCGTCAGCATGGTGCCGGGGGGCGGGGGGCCTTAGCACCTCACTTTCCTCCGCCCGGGACACACGGCACTGCACCTGTGTCAGCTCCTTTCCTGACACGGACAGTCTCAGGCTCCTTGTTAAACTGCTCTATGAGTCAGGGACAGAGGCGCACGCGGGCACAGGGCCTCCCTGCCTCCGTGCGAGACCCTCCAGGGCTCAGCCACAACCCTCCCCTCAAACGGGAGTGCGACCCCACGGGGCCAGGGAACCCGCGCAAACAGCACAGGACAGCCTGGGCAGCCGTGCTGGACCGCGCGGGGCTGCTCTCCTCAGCAATGAATCCAGGAGCCGAGCAGGGTCTCTGCAGAGCGCCGGCGCCCTCTGAGGAGGGGGACTCTGGGAGGGACGCAGGGGACCCGAGAAGGGGAGGCGCTGCGTCCTGGTCCTGTGTGCGCCTCAGCTGCCAGCACAGCGCTGCCCGCGACAGCCACCGCACGACTCACCGACCATCACCGACGTGTAGCTCTGTGCCGGGTCAAAGGGACATCTTCCTTTGCCGTCTTCGTTTCTCCCCAGAAACTGAAAAGACGTCAGGTCCTGCAATTGAATGGAAAGAAAGAGTCCTCGAATGTCTGCATCTGTCAGACGAGGCATCTCTGCTGCGGCGTTACTTTCAGACGCGCTGTCAGGGCACCGAGGGAAGCGCACGTGCAGCCTGACGCCTGCCCGCTCCTGGCTCTGACACCCTCAGGAGCCAGCCAGGAGCCCTCCCCACATCCTCGTCATGACCGTCTGCAGACAGGGCTCCAGGCCCGAGGGAGGCAGAGCCGGGAGTTGGAACAGCCTCTGTCGTGCAGAAGGCAGCCCCCGGGCCTGCGGAGCCCACTCTGCTTCAACGCTGGCTGGGGCCGGGCCTCACCAGGTGGTCACAGGCCGGCTGGAAGGCGTTGGTCCCGCACACGTACAGGGCAGCGGTGCCAAGCGGCTGGAGCACTCGGATGTAGTTGAGACACTCGGTCTACAAGAAAGAAAAACACAGTTAACCGGCTTCCACCGGACGCCTCCACATCCACCCTGGTGGCACCGCCCACTCCCGAGCTCGGAACCCGCCGAGAAGGTGCCGACCCGGGATCCCCGACACGCAGCTCTGCCCGTGCACTGACTGTGCCCTCTCACCGGGCCGCAGTGCCCATCTTCCCGCACCAGCCCCGCCCTGCCAGCTGCAGGGAGAGCAGGTGCAGAGACCCCGCCCCACCCCGGGCGAACCTCCTCTGCTGCTGAACTGAGTGCTTTTCTCTGCAGGGCCCACAGGCTGGCTGTCAGGTGCCGGGAGGCGTCACTGCAGTTGCTAATTTGTACCCAGAAGAGAGGGGCTGGCCACAGAAGCAGTGAAAGCTGACCTCCCCACAGGAAGCGCTTATGCCCTGGTGCCAGGCCTGCGGGGGCACGCTGTGCAGCTCCCTCACCCACCCTCCCGCCCAAAACCAGGAAACTGGAAACGGCACTTGGGGATGGGCTGTGTCCGGCTGCCCAGCCCAGGGGAGAGGCTGGCTGCGGAGGGCTCCGAGCCTGGCGCCACATCAGAAAGGCCGCGGGAAAGCCAGGTGCCACTTAAGGGCCCACCCGCTATTTTAGGTGAAATGTGCTGGGGTTGTATGTGCTGTCGTCTGAAATTATGCCCATGAGGGAGGCTGTTTTGCTGTGACGGCTTTAGATCTGGTTGGAAGTAATTCGTGGCCTCCGGCAGGAGCCGGGAGGGACCATGCGCCTCACCCGCGGGCAGGGCTCGCTGTAATTCAGCTCAAAGACAACTCCCTGTGACGCTGTTACCACAGCGCAACCTGCACAGAGTAACTTTAGATGCAGCGACTTCAGTGGGAGCATGTAGCGTTTTGCTAAAAATGTTTAGCAAAAAAACAACACTGGCCTTTTTATAAAAAAAGTTTTGTTTTGAAAATAGCCAACAACTGCTGAAATTTACCATAACCGGCTCAGCTGTCCTCACCAACTACCAAAGCAGGTGGGGCTCTGAGACCCCGAGACTGACACCTGCCCAGCTCCGGGGGGTGGGGTAACCCAGAGCGCCCGACCTGAGCTCGGCCCGCGCTCCTGCACAGCCAGCACACCGAGGTGCCAGGCCTCCTGGAGAGGGCAGATTCCCGAGGGATGAGAGCTGCCCCAAATCCAGGAGTCCTATGGCAACCCCCCAGGCACCAGAAATCCCTTTCCACAGCCCAAGTTTTAGGCCCCATGAATAATTCCAATTCAGTTCAACTTTAAAAAGTATTTCTCAAATCCCACTCTGTTTGATTCTTTCTTTGAGGGACCCAGTTTGGGAACAGGGGTAGGTGAGCCGTGGGAGACCTGACACAACCCCCAGGCTGCATTCTAGAAGCAGCCGTGTCCAGACTGAGGCGGCCAGGCATTCACCTGGGCTTTTGTAGCAAAAAAAAAAAATTACCTGTTTTGACTTTCCCTTTTCTGCGCACTTGGCTTGTTTATCTTCTGAGACCTTCCAATATGCCTGTTGGGGGAATGGGAGTCACTTCAGTGCGCAGCCCCGTCCGGAAGCAGACGCTGGCATAGAACACAGTTTACGAAGCAGCAGGGCAGGGCCGACGCCTCCCGACAGGGGAATCTGAGACGGCACGTGGGCCGAGAGTGGACGGAGGCCGGGAGGGTTCTGACTGGGACCCTCGGCTCCCAGCCCGTTACTCACTGCAAGCAGGAACAGACCCTACGCCTCTGCAAGGGGGCGGGTGACACCCATCAACAAGCTAAACTGTAGGTGCTTTCAAACGTCAAGGAGGGTTTCTTTCACTCCATTTACAGCGACTCCAGAGTCCCAGGGAAGAAGCCCTGACGCTGCTTCCCTGTCCGCACGGGCGGGATCGGGTCTGCACGGCTCACAGGCAGGGCAGCCGCGCCTGCGGGACCGGCTCCTGCTCTCACACCAGGCGGCGGTGAGCAGCGTCCCTGGCCCTCAGATGGAGAGCCAGGCCCGGGGCTTCCACCCCGCCTCTCCTTCCCACGCTGTCCCATCTCCCCGCGTGCTAGTCCAGGATCGATGCCAAATACATATATTTCCGCCCCGAGAATCAAAGCGGGCTGTCCAGGTCAGGAAGCGGGCGGGCGTCCCGTCCTGGTGGCTGAGTGAACCGGGTGCCCTCCGCACTAACGGCTTCCAGCGGCCCCTGTTCTCAGAGAAATGGAGCCGCTCGGACACGGAAGCAGGACCGAGTCCCGTTTCCAACAGCAGCGCCTTCAGAAATGAAGATGCAGGTAACCGCCTCCTCATCTCCGTGGAGTGCACGAAGGCGGCATCTCCGTGGAATGCACGGAGGCGGACGCGACCTCGCTCGCGGGTGTGGCTCCCACTTTTTCCGCTTCTGCGGAGAGGGGGCCCGGCGGCCTCTCCCTCGCCCTGGGGCCTCGGCGATGCCACAGAGCAAGGCCAGCCCGGCCGGGCACCCGCGGGCCACACCTGCACCTCACTTGCGAAGGGCAGTGCCCAGAAGCACAGTTACGTGTCAGACAGAGACTGGGACCACGCTAGACTGTGGGGATGAAGACAACACAAAACAGGGCATAAAGGGAGTGCCGTGTAGCAGGAAGTACACACATGGACCTGGCCGCCTTGGTGTCCGAGACTGAGAAAGGTACCCCAACACGAAGGCCTCTCGGGCCACGGAGCGGCTGCCCTGGTCAGGGAGGGGGCCGCTGGGCCTCAAGTGAGGTCCCGAGTGAATGCCGTCGACCAAGGGGCTTCAAACACGTTCAAATGCACGAGTCCATGGTCATCTTAAAAAATCAACCAAAAACTCAGTCTCCCTTTAGAAAGACACGACTAGCTGGCGACAGGCATGTCCCCTTTATTTATTGATTTTTTTTTTTTTTTTTTTTTTTTTTAGAGAGAGAGTAAGGGAGAGGGATAGAAAGATAGAAACATCGATGAGAGAGGAACATCACCGATCGGAGGCCTACTGGCACGCACCCCTACTGGGGGTGGAGTTCCTGAG